GAGGGTTTGTGACCAATTATTTAAGATTTTGACCATTAATTTGAGTATTCTGTGACTAAAAAATAATGTGTAATTGATAAATTGTGACTAATAAATAATATGTGATCTAAAAATTTGAATTGTGACTTATAAAATTTTTGATTTGTAACCAATGAATAAATTATGACACGAAATGTTTTTGAATTGTGACCATAAAATAATTTGTGACTTATAAAATTTCTGATTTGTAACCGATGAACAAATTGTGACACGTAAAATTTTGAATTGTGACCATAAAATAATTTGCGACTTATAAAATTTCTGATTTGTGACCGATGAATAAATTGTGACACGTAAAATTTTTGGATTGTGATCATAAAATAATTTGTGACGTTTCAATTTTTGATTTCCGATCGATGAACAAATTGTGACCTATAAAATTTTTGAATTGTGATCGTGAAATAATTTGTGCATGTAAAATTTGTGATTTATGACCAATTATATAAAATTTGTGACAAATTATATGGAATTATGACCTTAATGTAAATAATTAATAATAAATATATATAATTAGTTAATTTAAAAAGAAAATTAAAAAAACTTTGAAATTTGAAATTTTAAACTTAATGTCTTAAATTTGAAATTAGCAAAACTAAACTTCTTAATTATGAAATTTTCCCTTTATTAAGTTGTAATTTGAGTCAAAGAGTCGGGGGTTGGAAATATGTGTTGAAGAAATCAAAGCTGGAACAAAGAGAAAAAATAATCGCAAAACGCTTCGTGCCGTGCGCGCTCGAACGTCTTTTTCAGAGACTCCACCATTCGTAGACCAGGCTATGGGCAATTGAGCGGTGGATGGACCCCTCGTTAGCTGCAAAGAAGACTGCTCAAACGGTGGTGATATATGGTAGAAATCCTAATCGCGATTTTATGACTTTTCACAATCCTATACAAACATCAAATGCTATATATATATTCAAGCCATAGTTCGTTCCAAACGTATCTTGTATTATTGGTTGAGCCTCTATTCATTCAAGAGAATATATCCTACAAAAATCAAACGTCAATTCTATAATTCTCTTAACCACATAATCAAAACACAAAAGATCTAAAGATGAAAAACCAAAAAATCATTTCTTATTATTTTTTGCACATTGAAAGGAACATTCATGCAGCTCCTGATCAAGCACGTTTCATAAAATTTCTTCTTTCCTACTTACAATATTAAATTTTTGAGATAATTTAAAGCTAGAGGGATAGTTCCACTCATGTTTTGAACTTTCAAGTTAAAAGCGAAAGAATACCCTTATTGTTATTATTTTTCTTATTGAGGTATGGCCTACTACCTCCTACTCTCAACTCATCTCATCTCATCATGGGGTTGAAGAAGGTCCAAAGGGTTTGTTTGTTCACCGTTTCAAGTGATACGTGATTTTTGTTTAGAGTGTCGTGAGATAGTTCGATTTGTATCTACCTGTTAATAAAAAATTGAGAGTAATCAACCATCCCCATGAATGAGAGCTCTTGAGAGTGATCCCGTTATAGTCAACGTACATTTGATTCATTGAGCAAGAGTGTTCCAAACGGGACTCCAAATCATAGCTTTTTTTATGGGTCAATTTATAAAAAAAAAAAAAAAAAAAAATCTCATAGAAGTGAATGAAAAGTTTAGATTTTTTTTTTCATACAAGAAAGTGAAAACCATCGAACACGGATAGAAATCCAATAAGCGGACTAATATATCGCTTCATTGTCCAAAAAATTACTCATAAATTCCGTTTGAAACTCATTTTTCACTATTCATCGTATTTCTCAAAAATGATATCCCGAAATTCCTTGAGAAAATCAATTAGGTGGTGTTCTCTTTGTGTTTCAGTTTTGAGTTTTGAATTCATTTTGTGTTTTGTGTTTTGAGTGTCCATTTTTAGATTGTTGAAAATGTGTTCTTTTTACCATTTTGAAAAGTTGTTTTGAAAAACACAAAAATGAAAAATGTGTTCTCTTCAAATCACATTTTCCTCCCCCTTCCCCTTCCCCGTCCGTGTCTGTCTCTCTTCCTCCCCCTCCCCCGTCTGTCTCTCTTCATCCCCCGTCCGTCTCTCTTCCTCCCGGCTTCTTCTCGTCTCTCTCTCTTCTTTTCCGACCACAAGGTTGCTTGCGTGCGTGCGTGTGTGCTGTGTGTGGAGGTGAGGGAAAGGGGACGGCTGATAACTAGCAATTTAATCAGGAATGTTTCCAATTGGAGCTGTTTTTGGATCAATTGATGCAATTAACATGCTACCCATGGTTGTATAACGCTG